AAAAAATTAGCCGGGCGTGGTGGTGGGTGCCTGTAGTCCCAGCTACTCGGGAGGCTGAGGCAGGAGAATGGCGTGAACCCGGGAGGCGGAGCTTGCAGTGAGCAGAGGAGACGGCACCACCGCACTCCAGCCTGGGTGACAAAGTGAGACTGTCTCAAAGAAAAAAAAAAGGCCCCAGAGAACTGCCTTGCCTCACCCACTATGTGAGGTTACAGTGAGAAGGCACCGTCTATGAACAGATGAACAGAAAGTGGGACCTCACCACACATGGAACCTGTCGGCACTTTGATCTTACTTCCGGCCTCTGGAACCATGAGAAATACGTTTCCATTGTCTATAAGCCGCCCAGCCTGTGGCATTTTGTGTCAAAGCCAGAACTGACTAAGACATTTCCCCCTTTCTCCATAGCATTTCTCTAGTTCCTGGGAAGGACAGTCACTGGCCATGCCTCCCCTCCCTGACCCCAAGAGTAGCAGAGCACCTTTGGGGGCAGTTGTGCGAGGAGTCTTTGTAATGAGTTGTTGCTGCTTTGGAAAACAGGTGACTCCATCAAAACAGTAAACTCCCAGCTAGTCATGGCCACAAAGTTTCAATGCCTTGGTTGGAATTCCACCCACACCCAGACACACACACATGTGCCAAAATAGTGCAGAGGCAGGGCCATGCTAGGGCTTTTCAGGATCCTGGGCACCTCTGCCTTCATGGGCCTCTTCTTCTATAAAAATGACAGAGAAGCTATTTTGTGTCCTGATTCCCTTGCCTGCTCTTATTTTTGTAGGACAAAAAAGTTGGCAGCCACAGGGCCCATCTCCTTTGTGAATGTGAATGGCTTAGTCACTGGCCGTCTTTAGTCAACGGCCCTCTCCACCACTTCCTGCTCTTTTCTCTTTGGGAAAATTAGGGACTCAGGAAGTGGTGTCGGGTTTATCTGAGTGGGAAAATTGCAGCATCTGAGGAAGGGCTGTGCCAGAGGGAGCCAGAGAGGGCAGCACCTCACATCCCTGGGGCCAACATCCCACCTGGCACAAAGGATGGACATTCCTACCTCCGAAGGCGGGCCTCATGCTGAAGTCGTGCTCGTCCACTCTGAGAAGTTGCTGAGGCTTTCCCTTCCGGATCTTGGTCACATCAAGGTTCTTCTTATATAAGTGACTGCGAAGACAAGCAAGAAACTATTTTCCATCGGCTCATCAATGCATTGAGTGAGATGATTTGGGCGATTACTCCCTGCAAGATCTACCTGTTAGGCACCTTTTCTCCATTCTCCTTCTTGGCCCAGGGGAGGAGGAAGGCTGAAGGACCCTCCACGCACACCCCAGATCCTCACAGGTAGACTGACCTGAGGATCAGGTTTTTCCAGAGCCTTCCGAAAGTGGTTGCCCTCCTGGGCAGGACAGCATTCTACCTTGGTAAAGCCTATAATTGGATGAAAATGGTTGGATTGCCTGCTAGCTAGATTAATAAAGAAGAAAACAGAGAAGATCAAAATAAACACAGTTAGAAATGACAAAGGGAGCTGGGTGCAGAGGCTCACCCTGTAATCCCAGCACTTTGGGAAACTGAGGTGGGTGGATTGTTTGAGGTCAGGAGTTTGAGACTAGCCTAGCCAACATGGTGAAACCCCATCTCTACTAAAAATACAAAAATTAGCTGGGCATGGTGGCA